TATATATATATATATATATATATATACTATTATAAATATTCAGTATTATAATACACTGTTAATATTATAAGTAATATTATAGTACACTATTAATATTATCAATAATATTATAGTACACTGTTAATATTATAAATAATATTATTACACTAATATTATAACTAATAGTATTATAAATAGTACATTAATATTATAAATAATATTATAGCATACTATTAATATTATTTATATTAATATATGATACGATGTATCATTTATATATATGATACGATGTATCATTTATATTAATATTATATTAGTAATCTACTTAATAATATATAGTATACTATGAATATTATTTATATTAATACCTGATACGATTTAACTATACCAATAAAATTAACACAAACCATATTATCCTAGAGAAAACGATGACTTAGCCGTCTGAATGTCAAAGATTAGAAAGTACTCGGCACCAAACACTAAAAATCAAAGTTCACACTGAAGATCCTCAACAGGAATTCAACAAAGTTTGCAACTATGGCAATGTTAAAAAGGAATAGAAAGTGATAAACACAGATGAAATGCACACAAGGTTGCATCCTAGTAGGACGACGAACCAGCGCGCGCGCGTGTCACGAGGAAAGTATATTTCGGGCGCCGCGTAGGCGGAAGGATCGGCGCGCACGGATAGATGAAACAAGAAAAAATGCCAACTGGATAGAAAGTCATCTTCCGCGACCGTGTAGCTTGTCCTATTTTAGCTTCTCCTGCAGCAGACATAAACACGCCGCTCGCAATGCAATGCAATGCACGCGCGCGCGCGCACGCGTCTTTTATTTCATTCTTTTTCGCTTTTTTCCTCGTTTTCCATTGACGCGGACGTGACGCCGGCGGCGTGCAACGCGGGGCCCGGAACTTTTTCGCGCGTAGAAACCGGAAATCGTATCGGTTTCGTGGTGAAATCGGTTCCTGGCGCAAGAACCGCCGTCAAACGCTTCTGCGTCCGGGTTTTCTGACTCCGGGAAGCCATTCCGTTTTTCAAACGCATTTTTCGATCGCGCCGCGACCGGTTCCTATTTTGCAGGGAAAAGAGTGGGACCTTATGTCGTGTATCTACCTGTACGAAGCTTGATGTGATTTTTTATGGTGGATTGAGATGTTCTTTGAGATGCTTTGTTATGGGATCTTTGGTACTCGGTTAGATTTGATCAAGTGGTCGCTTAGATTTTTTCAAATTTGTAGTTGAAATTTGTTAAGATGTTTTGAAACTTGTAGTTTCAAATTATCAAGATTTATTTAAATTTATAGTTTCAAATTATCAAGATCTTTTCAAATTTATAGTTTCAAATTATCAAGATCTTTTCAAACTTGTAGTTTCAAATTATCAAGATCTTTTCAAACTTGTAGTTTCAAATTATCAAGATCTTTTCAAATTTGTAGTTTCAAATTATCAAGATCTTTTCAAATTCGTAACCTCAAATTCTCTATCGTGATTTCTTTGAACTTTTAAATTTAATATCCGACATTTCCGAATGTTTCTAAATGTTTTCATTTAACGCACTAGATCTTCGAACCTCTCCAAATATCATAAATATTGAAACTTCTAACTTACGAAACAACCTGAGATCTTCGTTACACGATTACATTCTCATTTACACAGTTCCAAGCACTTTTAAATAAGTCATAAATTCAGATTACACGATTACATTTGATTACACTTCCTCTTACATCGTTGAATTCTTTACCAATTTAATGCTACTTTTCGGTTCAGTTCAACGAAACTGCGAAACAAATCGAAACCAATCATTCTGACTATTACGGTTCTACTGTTAATTGTTAAGTGCTATTGATTGAATATTATCCAAGAAAGTACCAATACATAGGCAAACCACAGACTGGACAAGGGTACATCAAGGAGTACATAGATTCAGCAGTAAAACTAAAACGATCGTAACATCTAATCGTGTAACAGCCGGCCATGAAGAATTTTATAGCGCAATGGGCGCTGCCTCGCAACGAACAGAGGAATTCCATAACACCCTGGGAGAATGATCTAATTAAACGGTAACGGTGCAATAGATTTTCATCCTCCGCCACCGACAGCACCTTCTCACTTTTTCCTTTTCGTACGCTCAGGTGAAAGCTGCACTTGCTACGCAACCCTGAAACATACGTTTCTCTGTTGGAGGAATGTCGTTTTATCGATTCACAGTTTTATCACTCCCATTGACTATTTTCAATACTGCTCAGTCATCGACGTACTTCGAGACATGGATTCTAACGGTAAGACCACAAACTTTAATTCACTTACGAGACATTTTT